AAGGCATTAGGTTCCTCCTTGGCGAGCCTCGGAGTCTCCTAAAAACCTCCAACAGTTTTATGTTACGTGTAGACTGACCTAGGTGTTGGCTGTTGCCCAAAAGCACAATCCTGCCTTCTTCCCAAGCCCTGAGGGTCTGTGTCCTTTTTCCCCCTCTTGACAGTCTCTGACATTCACCTGACCTCAGGGTGAACTAAACCTGCAGAAATCTACCCGTGTATTTGTTCTGGTACTTTTGTATTGCCTTCTGAGCCAGCTTGTCGCATGCTCGGATATATTTCTTGGATGCTGTTGCTAAAGAAGTTATGTGAACCTAAGGCTGGAAACGGAAAGAAAGGAGGGTCGACCATCCTTTTTGGTGAGAGCTCACCCTTTCAAGGGTCTAGCTGTCCCAGGAAACTTTGCCTTCAGTTTGTGTGTTCCTACACGCTCAGCAGCACTACAGGCCTTTGCTCCTGCCCAAGTACCGCAGTTGGGCAGAGATTAGGGTGGGATCATGCTCACCTAAATATCAGTATCCACAATGTGAGTGTCTACGTGTAAGCCAGGTATCTAATCTGCCCTTATACACCACGGTGAGCTAGTCAACGCAGTCGAGCAAAACTAGAGAGAGATTCTGCTAAGTGAATGCAGGTGCCTAACGTAAGATGAGCTGGACAGGTGTCCAGACCCCACTGACCTGCTCGCCATTGACTATCATGGGAGCTTAGACGCCTGCCCTGTATGTAGACACCTATACTTTGGATACAAAAAGCATGCCTCTCCGAATCTTCAGCCGAATCCCACCTTGGTTTCTGTCTGCCTTCAGGGCTTGATCCAAGCAGTGTTTTCTGAGCATTCCTTGCACATGCTGAGATGATGGGTTTAAACTCCCAGCCCAGGGGCCACAGCCATGTCCATTTGCACACATGACTGCTGCCATCCTATTTTACTAGTGGTTTCGCCCTTCAGAAACCAGAATTTAGGCACCTCGTGGGTGGTGCTTGTCTACACCACACATCATTAAAGATAAAGCACTGTGTTGAAGGCACAGAAGAGTCAAGGGAGAACAGAAGAGCAGGTCAGTGGGAGCTTGAATTTATTTTTTTGGCTACAGCACCTCTGCGATCCTGTTTCCTTGGTGTATTTTACTGCAGTTAGTCTTTGACTAGGGATCAGAGTAAGAATTCAGACAGCAGATCTCCTCCTGCTGTCCCCGTTCAAGGCCTTGATGACTAGTCTTCAGTCAAGTTTCCTTGAAGCTCCTCTCTTTCTAGTGCCAAGAGTAGGCAGTCCTGGCTCTACTGTGCCTCTCCCAGGTCTTCGGGGTGGTGTCTGAAAGCCCGCAGACCCACAACATCTCTGGGGTACTCAGTAGGCAACACACTTTATGGTTGTGCCGTCACAGCATTTCTGTGGTGGGTTCTGGGGACTGCAACTGCATCTTCATATGCTGTGTAGGCACTTCTTGAAAAGACAGTGCAGGAATTACTCACTTCCGTGTTTGTTAAAGAAATTGGACATTGGCATCTGGTTTTGAGTCTGCTGGTCTCCAAAGGCCTGCCTTGATGCTACTCGTAAGTATCTTCATCTAAAGGGAAAACAGGATTTTGGTTACAGCTCCCTCAGTTTGCTACACTGTCGGTATGCTCAGATCGACCCTGCTTGAGCAGCGGGGTTGGACTAGGTGATCTCCAGAGGTCCCTTCCAACCTCAACCATTCTGTGATTCTGTGATTCTGTGATCAGGTGGTCTCATGACAATTGCTAACAGTAAACCACCTGGCAGTGTATGAAAGCATATGAGGTAGGACTCATTTCAGTTAATATTGGATATCCACAGTGCAAACATCTACAGCTATCTCAGGCTGCCTGTAGGGATGGATTGGGAGAAGCAGGAACTTATCAGAGCAATATACCAGACCTATTTTAGATATCTGATTTAGGAGGAGATGATTCACGCCCTACAAGTGCATACTGCTCTCCACTGACTGTGAAGGAAGCCAAGAGTGCCTTGCTTAGTCGTGGATGACTACCAGAGACTTTTGTGGGAGCAGACTTAGGCTCCATGTTAGAGCTTTTGCAAACTCCAGCTGGTGTAGCTAATTAAGGCCATAGAATTAATGCTGGCTCAGTTAAAGAGTGCTGTCTTCCAGTCCCATGTCCCTGCTCCACCTCCTCACCCTGCAGAGCAGCTCTGCTGTCTGAGCTGGGAAAAGGGAGGCTGGAGAAGGCAGCTGTCTGTGCTGCAGAAGTTGTGCAGCAGTTCAGTCTCTTCCCCATCTTATGATGCAGGGCTCACGCCACACCATGCTTGGCTAATAAATGGAATTTAATTGATAGTCCTGCATTAATTTCTAAAGTAGGTTAACAGCAGCAACAAAAACTTTGCAATTATGTTATTCAAAAAGCAAAAGCATAAACTAGGACATACACAGTGACATAGTACCAACAGAGCACGCGCTTGATTCAGAGGACCCTGCCAAGAAGCCAAGAGGCCCTCTCTTTGCTCACCTGCACTTTGGATGATTTGTGCTGTTACCTGATGGTGCCTGGGGTGGGCTTCTCTCACCTAATTCCAGGCATCTAAAAGTGAAAGTATTCTGGGCTGGTCCCGCTAGACCTTTACAGTCAAAGGGAGAACAGGAGCCTCAGGTGGTGATTCATCTGAGCTGTTCCCACTGCATCTCTCCAAGCCAAGATGCAAGACCCTGAAAAGAGGTCTGTATCTCTCCACTGACTAAGGAAGGAGTTGTTACTCTAAAGTGATTAGTTCAGACTGAAACACTGAACTTTCAGTTACTTCCTCCTGGCAGATGAATCCCACGTTTTGCAGGGAGCATCTAAAATCCCAAAACAGGCAGACCCCCCAGATCCCGATGAGACTCCAGCTGCTTGCTGAAAGCTTCTCTGAGAGTGGAAATAGGTGTTTTGGGTTTTTTTTTGTTTTGTTTTGTTTTTTTTTTCCTTTAAAACTGCCTCAGATTCAGATGGTCCAAACTCCTAGCTGGGCGGTGAGGAGCAGTGCATCACCCCGTGGAAGTGCATAGGTTCTGTTGCCCACAATAATGTGAATAAGGCACCTCGACTCAATGGGGTGACCTGCCGTTCAGTTGCCTCTGCTTCCCAGCAGCTATCTTCCATGAGAGCCAAGGGACTTGCTTTGTAAGTATTGCAGTACATAACCCAGGCATTTGAACTAGATCATGAGCAACCAGTTTATCAGACTGCCCTGCTTTTTTGACAGAGAGCCTTTTCCTCTCTGCTCTCAGAGTTACGACTAATTACTTCACATTCAGGCTTGCTGCTTTGAATCACTGATGATTAGCTGGCAGAAAGGCTCCGAGCCTTCCTTCTCAGCACCCAACACTCAGCCCAAACTTCAGCTCTAAATTTAACCAAACAGGATGAACCTCTTAGTTAATTAGATGCATTGTGATTTTTACTACCAGGTTCAGATAAATCACTGGAGACGCTCGCCCATTTTCCTGACCGTAAAAGCTGTATCACAGACATTGCTTCACAGTCTAGTCTTGCCTGATTTCAATTCTCTTCAAATGTGTGCACTACAGCAGAGCCTCTAATGCTGTCTCCCCACCACAAATCTTCATGCAGCGTCTTTTATGAAGCTCCTGTTAAAACTCAGAATGCGTATGCATGAAAACTTGGTCAGGCTTTATCACTCTTGCTGTGTGGGTTTAAGAAAGCTGGAAGTCAGTGGAGAAAGGAAATTTCTTTTGATTAAGTGCAGGTGGGATGTTGCTTTCTGCTTGCTTTTTGAGGCATGAAGTCTAACAAGACTTGTGAAATTACACACTCAAAATGAGGAGCAGTTCTTTCTTTTGGAAAAGTTTAATTCTAATATTAAATATCTGTATAAATTTTCTCTCTGGTATAAGCATTTTTAAACAGAAGAAGAAATGCTCATGCTTCAGCTTGTTTCATTAAATGCTATTCTATTCATGACATCTGTAGAAGGATTTAAGACCTACTTTCAGCTTGAGACTTTAAGGCGAGAGAATTTCAAAGCTGGATATGATTTTTCTCAGGCCTTTGTTATTTCTGGGGGGAAACAAAAGATGTATCACAGACACAATCTCAGTGCAACTGAGATCTAGTCTTTCTCTGATTTATGCAATACATATACACACACACACAGACTCATGTTATTGCCCATTAGCAAGGCTGCTTTAACAAGATGTAACTACATAAACATATACTTATGCAGCTTTACTCAAATCAATGTCTCAGCTGTGTCAAAAAGCAAAGTGATCAAGTGCTTGCTGGTGCAAAGATATCTTTACATAATGGACACTTAAGTTAATTGACAGAGCTTCTTTGGCTTCAGTAAGCTTACCCGATTTCCACCAGTGAAGAATCTGGCTGGAAGAGCTCAGACCACGTAGTGGCCAGCTCTGTCACTCAGCCTCCCCTCTCCCTCTGTAACCCATCATTAAATCTCTAGAGAGGTATTGCTTGACATGAAGAAAGGGTGAGACTAAAAGTAGCATCACTCACACTCCCTCACACTACACATCTCCACACAAAATATTTTGCTGACTTGTAAAGACCTATAAGCTTTGAAGCATGAAAGCCAGGAAGAGCTCCCTCCAACACATCACAAAACCTTTATTAGTGTTTATCAGTGACACAGGTTACAGAAACCAAAGGTAATTAAATAACATTTAACTTTAAATTGACCACAGACTCAAGAAATACAAGTCACATTTGGCAAGGCAAACTTCTTAGTACACCGGGTTGCTTAGGTTATTATTACATGGTGAAAGAATCCCTTACAAGATTCTACATATTCAGGATATCATTATTAATAATTATTATTGTGTCTTTCAGACAGTTCCTTTGGCAAGAATTCCCATTTTTTAAGCTTTAATTATATAAAAATATAACCAATTTTCATTATATACAAACATTACATTACACAATATACAGGTTAAAAACACTACAAAAAATGGCAGGCCATGGCTGAACTAAAAGCAAAAAAAAAAGTGTAGAAGAAAAAAAACATGAAAAGAAAAAATTAAATACTGCACATTTCATAAAAATTACATTAACTACAAACAGTTTTTTGTTTGCAAATACCAAACAGTACTGACGTGATTGGAAATCTTTCCCAACATCTTCATTTTTAAGGCACATCTTGCATATTTACATGTACAACACTGGATCTGGTCAATAACTTAGAGTCTCTTGGAAGTGACCTAGTCATGTGCGCGTATGGATGTGTGTACTTGGGCGGGGAGCGTGTAGGGTTACACTTTCTCAGTGGTGTCAGTCTGGGGGCCCAGGTATCTAGTTGAGGGGGCTGGGTACAGGGGCACCCCGATCTCCTGAAGGTCTGGAAGCCTTGCAGGACGTGGTGGGGAGAGCAGCGTGATTGTCCGATCAAAGTCCCTGTGTAACACTTTCTCATAGACGCTCTGGAGCCCCACTGTCTTCGGCAGCTGTGCCTGGTAAAAGCTGTCTCTGCGAAGGGGATCCCTGGGCAAAGAAGTGCTTTTGCAGAAGGTGGAGAGAGGTGCCGAAGGATGGGGAGATGGGTGAGAGTTGGCTCGGCCACAGGAGGGGCTCCAGCAGCGGTCTGAATGACCCAGGATCTTGCACTCAGCAGTACAGGCCCACAGTCCTAAAGAGACAAAGAATGAGAAACCTGTTGTTACCCCAGGAAGAAAGCCATGCCACTCATAATCAGAGCTCTCAGTCATGGGATCATTCAATGCACTGATGGTGGGAGTCGGGAAATGATGCTCTAAGGCTCAGCTGAAAAGCACACTTGGGAAGCTACAGCTATGTCATTTTGCTAGGGACACTGCTCACAATCGTAACGTGAAAGGAAGCTCTTTGGGGAGACAAAAAAACCTACTTCTACCATCTGCTAATTTGTGCTGGGTAGGCAACGCAAGAAGAAATCACCATTTAGCAGCCTGCTGTGAAGAGGCAGGCAGTTTAAGTCACTGAGCTCCTGAGGGGAGCGTCAGATTTCCCTTTCCAGCTGTCCCAGCTAGTCACTGTGCCACAGAGAGGGGTCTCTCTGCGTACCTCCCTTTCTGCCTGTTTGTCTATCCGGAGGGGCCAGTCAGGAGCAGGAGTGCACGCTGAGGAGGGACTGAGTCCTTACCGTTTTGCATGTGTGTGATGAGATCCTTCTTCAGGGCATCTCCACTGATATCTGAGTCGCTGTCATTAAAATCACTGTCGCCTTTGCCACTGTCTTTGCCACTGAACTTTTCTGCCTCTCGACCAGAGATGGTGTTGAACGAATGTCCCTTCCAAATGGCCACAGCGGGGGCAGGCTCTTTGCTGTAGCTTGGAGTGGCAGTGAAACCCTGCAGGGAGGGGATCAAAGGAAAGGTGAGAGAGAAGTAATAAACAGTAAATCAACATCAGAACAATACATCTGCAGTTCACGTCCTCCGAGACTCCCCCCCTCTAACCCCCTTTCTTTTATCCTCCCCCTTCCCCATTGGAGGGGAAGCATGACAGAGTGCGGTAGAATCTCACCTCCCCGTTTGTTCCTCTGAGCCTCTTCTGACCCTCATAGAGGCAAGTGCTGTCGCTGCCGTTCTCAGAAGCAGAGATCTCTTCAGCAGCTGGAGAAGAATCGGGGCTGGTGAAGGAGGTTTTGCTGGGAAAGGTTCGTACCTCGAACACGTTCCCCCTCTGGCCGCTGTCCTCCTGCCGACCCTTCTCCAGATGGGAGATGTCTATCTGCTCCTTCAAGGAACTATTGTTTTTGATATCGTTCCCCTTCTTGCGCCTGTTGCAGGTGGTGGCAATGGTGATTATGGCCACCAGGAGGAGGGTGCAGCTGCCTGCCAGGATAATGATCACGATCAGAGGGATGTCCCAGTGCAAAGCTTTTCCTTCCCAGGAGCTGGGCTTGGCTATCTCCTGGATACTGGAAGGAGCTGTGGCAGTTACCAGAAAGTTGATGGTGGCAGTTGTGGCCAGGGGGGGGTTGCCATTGTCTGTCACGGTGAGAATGACCTTGAACAGCTGTCCCAGCTCTTCAGAGAGGTCGCCCCTCAGCACAATGTCCCCAGTGCTTGGGCTGATAGTGAAAAGGTCCTGCTGAGGTTCCTCTAGGAAGGCAAAGGTGAGCTCAGCGTTGGCCCCATCATCCGCATCTCGGGCTTTGATCTGGGCCACGAGGGAGTCACGGGAGGTCTTGCTGGACACGCCGATTTCCACTGACCCATTGGTGAGCACCGGGTGGATGATGACGGGCGGGTTGTCGTTCTGGTCCACCATCCTTACCTTGACGAGGGTGCTGCTGGAGAGCTGTGGGGAACCCCCATCAGTGGCCTGGATCCTCAGGTCCAGCTGCTTGAGAATCTCATAGTTGAACGTCCTGAGGGCATAGATGGCCCCGGTAGCAGGGTCCACTGAGACATAGGTGGAGATGGGGGCCCCCATGACCTGGGTGTCTAGGAGCCGGTAGGTGACTTTGCCATTGTGGCCAAGGTCAGGGTCGCGGGCCACCACAGTGGTGATGTAGGCGCCAGGTGGGTTGTTCTCTGGCACAGCCACCTCGTAGAGGGGCTTAGCGAAGAGCGGGGCATTGTCGTTCTCGTCGCTCACCCGCACTGTGTACTGACGGACGGTCTTGAAGGGTGGCGAGCCCAGGTCTTCAGCCACCACGGTGAGGTTGTACTCGGGGATGCGCTCACGGTCCAGCGCCGCTGTGGTGACGATCATGTAACTGTCCTCATAGGCACGCTGCAGGGCGAAGTGGTCATGGCCACGGAGGCTGCAGCGCACCTGCCCATTGGCGCCTGAGTCGCGGTCCGATGCACTGACGAGCGCCACAAAGCTTTCGCTGGCCGCAGCCTCACTGACATAAGCCACGCCAGCAGCGCTGGCGGCACCGCGGAGGGCACTGATGCTGATGCGTGGAGCGTTGTCATTGACATCGGCGAGGCGCACGATGACCGTGCAGGTGGCGGCGCGGGGGCTGGCACCACGGTCCTGGGCACGCACATCCAGCTCGTAGGTACGGTTGCGCTCATAGTCCACAGCAGCCTCCAGTGTGAGGCGCCCTGAGCGCGGGTCGAGGCGGAAGAGCCGCCGAGCCTCGGGGGGCACCTGGCTGCCACACGGAAAGACTACTTCCACGC